AACATATGAGCATTCTGCCAAATATCTCTTTTAGTTTTTTGCTGTGGAAAAAAATATATACAGTGCACAACATAAATGAATACACCCCCTTTTGAAAAATATTATGTTTCCATTGCTCAGTGAATTTAGGCATTAGTTTTTGCTCCATTAAACAAAACCGTTTCATTCGTTCATTTTCCTTCAGCTTAGTCCCTTTATTCATCAGTGGGGTCACCACAGCAGAATGAATTGCCAACTTATTCAGCATATGTTTTACACAGCGGATGCCCTACCAACTGCAACCCAGTGCTGGGAAACATCCATACACACTCATACACACACATACATTCATTTTCTTTTCTGCTTAGTCTCTTTATTCATCAGGGGTCACCACAGCGGAATGAACCGCCAACTTATCCAGCATATGTTTTTAAACAGCGGCTGCCCTACCAGCTGCAACCCAGTGCTGGGAAATATCCATACACACTCATTCTCACACACACACTACGGCCAATTTAGTTTATTCAATTCAAATATAGCGCATGTCTTTGGACTGTGGAGAAAAACGGAGCACCCGGAGGGAACCCACGCCAACACAGGAAGACCATGCAAACTCTATACAGAAATGGCAACTGACCCAGCTGGAATTTGAACTAGTGACCTTCTTGCTGTGAGGCGATAGTGCTAACCACTGAGCCACCGTTTCGACTCAAAACAGTTTTATTAAATCTTGATTTTAAAAATATTAGTGTGGTCAGCTATCCTCATTAGTAACAAAGATAATACATTTCAATTCAAACGAATGAAATTAACGAACTACAAAAAATATCAGTTAAATAGATTTTTAAAATTTTTCTCCTGATTTTTCTTCTTTATTAAAATTAAAACTTATTTATTATTGCTTACTCACATATTAATTGAGGTGCATTTTGGACTGTGATGTTAAGCTATTTTGTCAAATAAATGCCAGCTTTGGCTTTGGTAGTGACCAATCTAAGGCCCTGTTTACACTAGTACGTTTTAGTTCTAAAACGGCATTTTAGAATGAAAACGATCCGTGTCCACACTGGCAATTCACTATAATAACTCTCCGTCTACATTACACCACTAAAAATGCACATCACGTAACCACACATACTCTCTAGCATGCGCTGCAGCATATATACCCAGATGAGAGCTGTGCATGTCAGACTGTTCATCAAGGATCTCCCGCTGGATCTAATCTCACTATATTTGTTAAACGTTATATTTAATTCATCTTGTTGTCTATATCTAACAACATATTGTACGTTCTACTTTTTATAATGGCCATTATTAAGTATTAATACTGAAATTCAGCAAAAGAGAGGGTATTCTTTGTATTTTCAATGAAAATGAAAGGAGGCAATTACAAAGGTAATGTTATAGGCTGCGTTTTGTTTTAAATATGCATACAGTGACGATGACGGACATATAAATATGCAGCTACACGAGGCCTCAACAGTTTTGCTGTCTGTTAAGTTGCTAATATCAAAATGAAAGTAGCAGAAAATGAAAATCCTTATATCATGTTTTCATTTTATTGTTAAGAAAGTGAAACAGCGTAGCCAGGGTGATGTGAACAAAGTTATAAAGTAAACTGTTCCCTTTAAAAATTTACCCGACGTGTCCTCGGAAGTTTGTTTTACTTATCAAACTTGCAAAGTCTGAATTTACAAGGAGAGCATGCAAGACTGAACTCTGTGTAGGCTACTTAATATTGAGGAAAAAGCCCCATTCAGACAGGCAAATGTCTCCATTTTTAGATGTCTATGTTTTCCCCCATCCACACTGACACGGAGCAGCAATGTATTAAAATGAAAATGGCATCTCCAGCATTTCCAAAACACTCTGTTTTCGGCGCTTGAAAAATCCGGCATAGTGTGGACGGATGGCATAACCATAGCAAAACGTATGGATTTTAAATCTAAAACGTATTAGTGTAATACAGGGTTTTTCAAAGTCTAAGACAGTGGGCCTCCCTTTTGACACAAGTTATCCATTGGCGCCCCCCTCCTCCCAAACACGCACACACACACACACACACACACACACACACACACACACACACACACACACATATATATATATATATATATATATATATATATATATATATATATATATATATATACAGTATATATATAGACACAGACAGATGTCAGACTGTTAACTCACTTTTATCATCATTTGCATGAAAGTGCAATTATTTACAGAGTAATAACAAGTATTTTAATATAACGTTTTTAAAACTAGTAGGATGGTTCAATATGAATAGAACAGATCCAAGAACTGTCCATCCCAGTCAAAACAGTCGAAGTTTAGCAGGTCTCATGCTGTCATTAGCCAAAATATCTTGACAAACCACACATAAAGGTCGTGGTTCATCAGCTGGTCCTGTCCACGTAAATCCTAAACTCAAATACTGATCATCATATCGTCGTCTTTTGGGTTTAAGCCCTGAACTTGAAAGCTTTGAATCGGGGGGTCTCAGAAACCGATCCATTGTATTAGCAGGCATATACCTGTATTGGCGGGCTTGCCAAACAGAAGCGAATTCACAGCTATGGCCTTCTGGTTAAAAAAGGTTTTCTTATTTTTGCGTATTATTTTTTTAGCTTTGTTTAATTAAAACGTTTAAATATAATAAAAAATACATATAATAATTAAACTTAATTATATTTTTATTATATAATATTTTTTTCCCGCGCCTCCCCTGACATGCTCTTGCGCCCCCCAGGGGAGGCGCGCCTCACACTTTGAAAACCCCTGGTGTAATATATTAGGGCCTAATATATATACTACATACACAAATATATTATTGTATAGCATACAGTATTGAGGTAAAGTTGGTTTTATGTTCACAGATTCTGACATTCTCCTTAAAAATGTAATTTCAGAAAAGTTTTATTTGCATTTTGCGTGTTTCCTCTGAGTGCTACAGTTTACCCCACAGTCCAAAGACATGCGCTGTAGGTAATCTGAATAAAGTAAACTGGTGGTAGTGTATGTGTGTATGGATGTTTCCCAGTACTGGGTTTCAGCTGGAAGGGCATCCGCTGTGTTAAACATATGCTGTATAAGTTGGCCGTTCATTCCGATGTGGCAACCCCTGTTGAATAAAGAGACTGAGTCGAAGGAAAATTAATGAATGAATATTATTTGCAAATTTTGAATGGGGAAATCATATTAGCAGCCAATGACTATCAAGGGGGGGGGGGGGGGTGTACATATTAATGTTGAACACTTTATTTATTATAGGGTCTAATCATGCTGATGGTAAGTAAATGATGAGCAGATTGATACTACTTAACTATTCTCTCTCTGGCTGTTCTGTTTCTCTGTGTAGATTTGCATACACAGTGGCCACAGTGCTGCTCAGCACACTGGTGCGCAGGTTGAGAATGCACAGGGTGGACGGGCAGGTGGTTGAGGCCCGGTATGAGCTGGTGACCACACCCAAAGATGACACCTGGATCACGGTCAGCAAGAGAAACTGAACCACTCCAACATCCATGAAACAGCGCCCTCTGGAGGATGGGAATTACACATGAATGATCACATGGTTTACATGCAGTGTGGTTGAGCAATTTATAAGATCAAAGCAATGTCCAGGTTATTAACACTATTCGCCACAGTTTTTAGAGCTTCATTCTTTTGAAGTGCTTTGGACAACAACATTCCAGAAATGATCAGTGTTTAACTGCAATTTTCTACACTAATAAAAAAAGAAGTGTGCTTCTGTCAGTTTATGCCTGTCTATCAGTCTAGCTATTACTTATATTTGTCTATCTATCCATCTATTCATTCATCCTCTCTCGATGGATTAGTCAGTCTATCCATTTGTCCAACCATCTATCTATCTATCTATCTATCTATCTATCTATCTATCTATCTATCTATCTATCTATCTATCTATCCCTCTCTCTTTCTCTGTCCATCCATCCATTCATCTCACTATCTCCCTCCCTCTCTCCCTCAATTCATCCGTCCGTCCGTCTGTCTGTCTTTTTTTATCTTGCCTTACTCTAGCCATCCGTCTGTCCGTTGCCGTCCATCCATTCGTCTGTCTGTCTGTCTATTTATTTTGTCTTACTCCATCCATCCATCCATCCATCCATCCATCCATCCATCCATCTATCCATTCTTCTATCCATCTATCAATCTCTTTCTCTCTCCCTCCATTCATCCATTCGTATGTCTATCCATCCCTCTCTATCTCTTCTTCCCTCTTCTCCATCCATCCATACACCTATCTCTCCCTCCCCCCGTCCATCCGTCCGTCTGTCTATCCATCCCTCTCTCTATCTCTCCTTTCCTCTTCTCTATCCATCCATCCATACATCCATCTCTCCCCCATCCATCCATCCATCCATTGATCTGTCTCTCCCTCCCTCTGTTATTTATCTTGCCTTACTCTATCCATCCATCTGTCCGTCCATCCGTCTGTCTGTCTTTTTATTTATTTTGCTCTACTCCATCCATCCATCTATTCATCTATCCATCTATTCATCTATCTCTCCCTCCTACTGTTATTTATCTTGCCTTACTCTATCCATCCATCGGTCTGTCTGTCTTTTTATTTATTTTGCCTTACTCTCCATCCATCCATCCATCCATCCATCCATCCATCCATCCATCCATCCATCCATCCATCCATCCATCCATCCATCTATCTATCTATCTATCTATCTATCTATCTGTCTATTTATCTTGCCTAATGTTATCCATCCATCTAATGGTCCATTTCAGTGGATTTTTCTATATATCTATTGTGTTTGTCCATTTATATGTCTGTAAGTCATTTTGTCCATCTATTTATCAACCTATCTGCTTATTTGTCTATAAATATTGTGGCCAGATGATTTGGCCTAAACCATTTTCATGTTGGAGCATCATAACTATCCACAAAATGACACAGGGGGGACAGTGAGAGGAATAGAACGAAACGTATAGGGGAGGAGGAAATATTTTTGAGTGTGTGTAAAAGAGAGAGAGAGAGAGAGAGAGGGTTGGTGTGGTGGTGTTTTCCTCCTGCATGCATCAGTGAGGGAGAGGGAGTGTGATGGTGGTGTTTTCCTCCTGCATGCATCAGTAAAATGTGAAGATGGCGGAGCTGCAGATGCTGCTGGAAGAGGAGATTCCTGCTGGTCGAGGAGCTTTGCTGGACAGCTACGCCAACCTAGAGAGAGTCGCCGAGTACTGCGAGAGCAATTACATACAGGTGACAACATTAAACGCCGTACAAATATTCGAGATACGCGCAAAAAATGACAAGAGAGATGAATGATCCGACAGCTTGTGTTTTCGAGTTACGGTAAAACGAAATGGACTAAATTCAACACATGTCGTTGCCGCATTTAAATCATTATGGTTTATAATGTTCGAAGGCATCATCTAACACATTTTTTGGGCGTTTGAGAGCCATGTTCACTGTTTTTGTACAGAAATGGGGCCTCAAACGCTGAGCTAATAAGCTAACGCGCTAATCGAAGCGAAACCAATGTGTAAGTTAAACCTCAGATGTATCACACAAAAACGGTTTATTTATCTTACCTTTAACTTACGTTTAATACAAACGAACCCCTACTGCACTTTTGTGATTATTAATGATTAACAGTTATATTATTTAAAGCGGTATATTTATGAGTAAATCTCTATGAAAACATTTATGTTGTGTTTTTGAAGTTAGCTTCGCTGCTAAATGCTGAAAGCTTATGTGCAGTGTTTTTAACTTAATAAATGTGCTGTTTTTATTGCAAATGTTTCTTAAATTTGTGGTTTTACCCCGCTTTTTATTAATAGAGTGTTGTTTAGGGTTGTACATGGTCGATAGAGATGTGGATGATGTTATGTTAGGAGGATATTTTTTGGTAAGGTTACGTTACTATCGCGATTAATCGATGCAGTTTACTTCTACTCCGATATCTTTTGATACATGCATATAGTTTCGGCTGCATTGTTACAATAACTAGTTTGTAATATATGTTGGTCTATATAAGGGGTCACCAATCTCGGTCCTGGAGGACCGGTGTCCCAACTTGCCTCAACACACCCACACCTGCCTGGATGATTCAAGTATACCTAGTTAGTAAGACCTTGATTAGCTTGTTCAAGTGTGTTTGATTAGGGTTGTAGCTAAAATCTGCTGGATCTACCGGCCCTCCAGGAACAAGTTTGGTGACCACTGGTCTAGTCATGCTGTGATAGACAAATTAAATAACGTAGACTAACCATGTTCTGTACAGACCTTTTAACGCTCTGAATAAATACTTACGGGTCATCAACAAGCTATAAATCTGTTTAATTTTTATTTCCCACCTACCATGTGTTTCAGAGAAAATTATATAATTTATAAAAAAAGTTATTAAATTTAACATTAATTTCAAGTTAAACAATAATAGTATATTCTGACGTTGGTTTTTTATAAGACTTAAAACAATGTCCATTTTTGCCGGTGAAATGAAGTTATGCGCCCTGTACGGAACACTATTTTAATCTGTATGGAGCATCATTAATACCTCATCTTCTGTACACATGCATAGGCAGTCTTTTCTCAAAAACTACTGATCCAAAAGACATCAATCAAAATTTGGATTGGGCAGTAGCTATTCACTCAGAGAATGATCTGGCTTTCAATGATGGAGGAGTGGTCGTTTGAGTTTGCTGAATAGCGAAAAGTGTACTTAACATGGTTAGTCTACGTTAGTTAAACAGTAGTTCTAAGAACTATTGTATATTAGGCATGAGACGATAACCGTTTTTAAGGGATACTGCAATTTTGAAATGCCACGGTTTTAAAACCGGCAAAACTTTTCTGTAATACCGTTCCTATACTGTAAAAAAAATCTGTAATTTTAAAGTTTATTTCAAGCAGCTGGGGTGTGGGAAAAAAAAGTAAAATAACCGCTGTTAAATTGCAGAAATTTACTGTAAAATAACAGGTTGAATTACAAAAATTTACTAGAAATTTTAATTTAATTAAATTTCTATAATTTAACGGCCGTTATTTTACGCTTTTTTTTCTGGTACCCCAGCTGTCAGGAAGAAACCATAAAATGATGTTTTGTTTTATATATATATATATATAGTGTAAGGTATGTGTACGATTTTTTTTTTCATTTAAGTTTTTTTTTTTGTTTGTTTTTTTTTGTTTGTGACAAAAAAACTGTCTTTGAAATAAATGAAGACAGCAGAAGTCAATGATTTATTTGAATTATTCAGCCTGACATGCTTACTGCTCCAAAATATATTAAATGTTTTTCGAAGGGGAAACACTTTTTTTGTTTTGTTTTTACACAGACATTTAAAAAGACTATATTTTAGAGCGGTAGTCACAATACCGTGAAACCGTGGTGTTTTAATCCAAGACTATCCTACCATCAGAATCATATACCAGCCCATGCTTATTGTATGCATTTAATTTACCCTGCTAGCACGAGGTTTGATGATTCATCTGGAAACCAATAAAGGCTTCTGGAAAGAAAATGAGTGACTAAATTCGTGTTATTTTCAGCGTTCCTGGGGGATCCACAGAAGTGGGTGTGTGAGGATCTGCACTTCTCTGTTTAGTATTTGTCATCCCTCAGAAATAGAGCATCAGAAATCAAAGTCTGACATTTATTGCTCCAAAAATACAGAGCGTGTCACATGGGCCGGAGCAGATCAGTGGCTGGATGTCACTGGATATGAGTTTGTTCTCTGCGAATGCTGATTCCAGTACTTTTGAGTCGTGATGTGTTCCTGATAAATATTGCATACTCGCAGTAAAGGGTCGAGCTTTTACTGGCCTGTTAATGCGCTAAAACCTTAGGGTCAAAACTGACAGTTCTCAAGATGTTAAACAGCTTTGTGATTTTGACCAGGGAGGTTTCGGTTCATATCGTACCTGAATTAGGCCTCTGGGAATCACACAGAGCACACAGTGAGGCTCTCTGAAGGCATTTCATTGTGTCATTTGTAAAGAAAGTCTGTAGGTTGTGAGAAATAATTTTATTTCTCACTTTGTAGCTTTGGCACAGCAGGTTCAGAAATACCATAAATAGCTGCATGTGACCGAGCTTAGATTTCTTTCCATGACAGCATGTAGCTTGGCTTGATATGAGACCTGCTTGCATGTGGTCTATGGTCTGGTTTTAGTTTAGAGAGTAACCCAGTATTTCAGAAGGTTTCTCTTAGGGCTGGGCGATATGGCAAAAATAATTATTTTCCACATTGAAAGATACTGATATATATTTTAATACAAGTTGTTAATGCTTCAAGATTTAAAAGAGTACCCCTACTGATAATGACTGATACCATAAAAATTAGATGGTCCGTTAAACAACATATTTTCGGCTGATACATTTTTGGGAAACCAAATATTCGTTATCTCTAATATCAGCACACTTTTAGTTTCCCATTGTTGCACATTTCTGCTGTGTGATTGGCTCTCAGATCAATATAGAGTTAAAAAGGCTATAGCTTATCACTGTGAACATACATTTTTTATCGCGATTCGATATGATATGATTGCATTCGCAATAGTCAACCTATGCAGTGTTGAGTTTGGATTATATATCACCACAAACCACAGGACAAAACATGAGATTGGTGGAGATACTGCAGAATTTGACCATAACAGAGTGAAAGTTTATCATCTGCATGTGTTTTTAAGGCCCATGATGACTGTGTGAGTATTTTTATAGAGTTTAAAGCATTGTAGTTGTGCATAAAACATTTAATAAAGATTAGTTTGATTTAATTATTTATATTATGAAGACTATGCAGACTATACATTTGATTATTTAATTTATTTTCCTGTCACGATGGCGCAGTGGGTAGCATGATTGCCTCACAGCAGGAAGGTCACTGGTTCGAGCCTCGGCTGGGTCAGTTGGCATTTCTGTGTGGACTGTGGAGTTTGCATGTTTTCCCTGTGTTCGCGTGGGTTTCCTCCGATAGCTCCAGTTTCTCCGACAAGTCCAAAGACATGCGCTATAGGGGAATTGGGTAAGCTGAATTGTCCATAGTGTATGCGTGTGAATGAGTGTGTATAGATGTTTCCCATTGGTGGGTTGCAGCTTGAAAGGCATCCGCTGTGTAAAACATATGCTGGATAAGTTGGTGGTTCGTTCCACTGTGGCGACCCCAGATTAATAAAGGGACTAAGCTGAAAAGAAAATGAATAAATGAATTTCTGTACCTGAACACTGCTAAGTCTGGTTTATACTTCTGCATTGAGTGATCGGCATGACTCATGGTGCATGCCTTGCTAGTTGCCGTGCATTAGTTCTTCTGTGCATTGTTTCTGTTGCTCTGCAATAACGCGTCCAAAACGCTAGCTGGCAGTAGGTGTTTATGTTCCTTTCTGTCGAGTTTCTTCGCTGGTGTTTTGTTTTTTCTAAACGCTTCCTTGAACTAAAAGTGGCTCAAACTCGCTCATTTTGAGGCTGGAATCGGCGAACGTGCAACAACTTTAATCATAAGGTAAACACAAAACAACAGTCTCCATCTGGAGCACCTTCACGGGACTTGACACTTGTAAACCCTCGCTACATCGGGCTCGCACGGCTCTCACTCCCGCCCACACTCATCAGCGCTACCAAGTTGACCAATCACAGAGCTTCTGCTACCTGTCGTTGCGACTTTTATTCAGATTTTTGAAAGGTGCACGACGGCCACGTCGAGGGCTATGCGTCGTAGGCTGCGCCCTAGCATATGCATGCGCTTGACGCAGAAGTATATCTCAGCCTTTAGTCTCCAGAAAACCATAAAGCACTGTTTATTCACTTTAATATGTGCTCCATTGTGTTTATGACTGTAGTTTGTTTGTTATAAATCTAAAGTAATGACTTTGCAAATAGTCATCTGGTGAAATTGTATTTATACCGCAATCTATTTTGCAGAGAGAAAAAAAATTCCCAGCGTAAAATTTTTTTCAGTGTCCTGCAGCCCTAGTGCATATATGTACATGCATATATATAGGCAATATCACATGAGTAGCAGTGCAATGTGGCTGTATATCGGCACTGGTGTGTGGCGCTGGTGTCCCACCAGTGACGATATACAGCCACATCGCACTGCTACTCGTGTGCTATTGTGTTTATATAACTTTGAGGGCATAATAATGTATATAAAAAAGAAAATCCAACACGGAGAGTCTCAATTTTCTGTCTGATTCTCTAGCATAATATCTAAAGTGAGGACAAAACAGGTGGTCTTGCTGACATTTTAAGATAATAA